ATATCCGGGAGCTTAGCCGGGATTAATGAAAGTGATGTTGAAGAGATTGCATGGGGTTTGGCTGATAGCGACCAACCGTTCGTGTGGGCAATCCGTCCCGGTTCAATCGAAGGTGAGTTTGTATCTTTATGTTTTACTAGCTCCCTTAAGATTATGGCTCATTTGTTGGAACACATAATTTTTGAAACTTGAGGTAATTTGAGTGTGTAGGAGTAGCTTCTTTATCCGGAGATAAATAAGAGACAACTCAAACGTTAAAATGAAATGAATAATTTTGTTGATGTCTCACACCATATATATCTTTAAAGCAATTAAACACTATTAAGATTTCAGCTCCTTCTTCTATCCGGTTGATTTTTAGAATGAAACTCTATATCTTAATATGGTATCAAAGACAAAAATCGATCCATGGTTTGGGTCCCCTGTGAAAAAATGACGACACAATTATAAAACATGATCATAATGAACTGATGAAAAAATGAATGATGTAACGATCCAGACGAAGAGCCCGTTTAGTGACCCCTTTTTTGGCTTATCAGACAGCTTTTTCACCAAACACGTAACTTTGGATTTCGCGCGCTGAATTTTTTAATAAGCAGAAAAAGTAAGGTTGAAGTTACTTTTCTGGCTGTATTGGCTGAAGTAACTGTAGAGGATCATTTTAGTTATTTTTTCATATTATTTTTTATTTAATTTATTAATAACAAATATTTTAAATATAATTTTTTACATGAATAAACCGAATCCGCCAATACAGTCACTTCAGCCAGGACTTCATAAATATCAGCAGAATCAGCCAATTCAGTCAATTTTAGTGTTACCAAACGGGCTCGAAGTGTCTTGTCGTGAGGAGGGGTGTTATTGTCCTACATCGGATATTTTTAAAGCAATTAAACACTATATTAAAATCCGGACTCCTCCTCCAGTCCTCCTGTCAGAGTGATCTTTTAAGATTGAACTCCATATCTTAACAAATTTAGAATATAGTACGTACTATCTAAGGCGTGAATATGTTTGTTTATTGAATGATTTATATGCTCTGAAAGGAAAAGAGAAGCTCCTTGAGGACTTCAAGAAAAGAACCATTAACAAAGGACAGGTAGTGAAATGGGCGCCGCAGAAGGATGTATTGGCTCACAGCTCTGTGGGTGGATTCTGGAGCCATTGTGGTTGGAATTCTACTTTGGAGTGTCTTAGCGAAGGCGTTCCATTGATTTGTAGACCACACTTTGCTGACCAATTGGTCAACGCCAGGTTCTTGGTCCACAAATGGAAGGTCGGGTTGGAGTTAGAAAAGATGGAGAGAGGTATCATTGCAGATACTATCAGAAGACTCATGGTGGGTGGTGAGAGGAAAGAGTTGAAGAACAATGTCATGGAAATAAAGGAGAAACTTGATAATAGCTTTAAGAAAGATGAAGGCGCTTCATATAGAGCACTCTCTGAACTTGTGAATTTCATTTCTTCATTTTCACTTTCCAATTCCGATCGTGAGGTGAGTGTGGGGCGGTGATACATCTAGTTTTTTAAAAAGATCCTACATCTATTTATAGAAATTGTTACTACGTATAATGTTACCATTTCATGTATTTTTGTTTCACAAGATTTGTAATAAAAAGGAAACAGATTGATTTGTCCAAACACACGTAACTCAAGATCGCAAGAGTTTGAATACATGCACGATGCCACATTGGATATATTTAAATATTAAAAAAAATGGTGAACCACGTCCCTAAAAATCCAAGACTCCCCTCAAATCCAATTGCACATTTTGTTAAAAGACTGAAATTGAACTTTAATGGCAATATGTTTGATAGAGTGTGAAGTAACAAAAGTGAACAAATCTCATTTAAGAATGTAACTATTGAGCATTTCTCGACATAAGACGACATGTCCATGACTAGTTATTTTCAAATAAGTATAAAGAGTCGAAAACAAAGTGGTACATTAAAAAGACGGAGGTAATATTTTTTAATCAGTTTTGAACGACTTGTGGCCATTGGTGCGAACCCGAGACTCACAAGTGGGTCTTGCATTGCACGCATCTGCATAGATCCTTGCATTTGGTTTGCCACTGCCCTGGCGCATTGGGGTATGGCTTAATTTTTCTCCTCATTTCCTTTGTCACATTTAACAGTTGAGCTATGCCCTACCGAATGAATGCAGAGTTTATTTTCCCACCCATTAAGTTCTATATCCCACTTTAGCACCCCAAATATATGTATTGTTCACACTTTGGTGGTGACTAAGCTAGCTGACTTATACATCTATTCGCCCCGCAATGTTTCAAATAGCCTAAACGAAGTGAACTCAAACTCAAGCTCACAAACACTCATACAACTTGATAAAAGCGAGCTACTAAGTAAAATTATTTGCAAACGTAACTGACGTACTAAATAGTTAATACGGTACCATCGAGCTCAAAATTAAGCCAGCTTTATTTTGATCATATTTATGTAATTATTTCTTAATAAATTGATTGATTGAATGGGATTCCCATGACACACAGTCATGGAAATCCGCCTCCACCTGTCAATCGGCTTAGCTCGAATTGAGGTTGTGAGGAACCTATATGTCTCGAGGGACGGAGGGAGTAATATTTAAAATTTAGGCTAACTTTTAAAAAGTCTTTCATTTATTTATTTTTTGATAATCCAGGTGTCGGTATTTGCGCTCCTCTAATCCTAGAGTCTATTGACTACCCTCCAAAGCCACTAGACAGTTAAATTTGTATCTGATCACAGTCAGCCTCGTCGGTACCGGTACCACATGACGAATTCAGCAGGACTTCCTATCAACTGAAACCAGAAAGGTCATCAACCGTCGACTAATGCAGAAGGGTCCATGTCCATCAACTGGTGTAGAAGGGTCCTCAACCCATCGACTGAATCCAGAGGGTCTTCCCACCATGCGAACTCGAACCTCAATTTCCATCCCCTCCCTTCTAAGCCACTGAGCAACTCAGTGAAGGTAGGAAGAATCATTGGGAGTAAGACTCTCGCATCTCTCCTATTTGTGCTAGACACGGTAACCTCCCATCCAGTGAGCTGAAATGCTTGGTTAAGTCTTTCATTTCTTTTTACAAGTTAAGAGTGAAGCCTTTTCACGCATATAGAAAGGTGGGAAAAGAAAGTTCAATTCAGAATATATTGAACCTTATCTTTAGGGGCGGATCCAGGAATCTGCCATGCCCTGGGCTGAATAAGAATTATACTAGGCTTGAATACTAGCAGAGTGGGCTAAATATGAAAAATGAAAAATTTTACACTAAAAAATTAAACATTTTCTAAGTTGCTCTGGGCTTCAGCCTACTATAGCCCGTACATAGATCCTCCCCTGCTTATCTTAGAAATTGCGAAGACTCCAAATTTAAGGAGAAAAGCCTACAAAACAGCAAGGTTGGTAAACTACAAATCATCATTAGTGTTCAGTATCGTCCCCCTTTGTCTTTTCATGAGAAAGGGTCCATTCCGATTTGATTAGTCCAAGTTTATAAATTTATACGAAGTATATGAATAATATGATCATGTATAGTTTAATATTGCTCGATCTAATTCATTATACAAATATACAATGGTCTAAAACATTATGAAACGAAATCATGCATGTCATGTTCCTCACTCTTATAGGGAGTATGTTTTAACGTTATAATTTTCGCCTTTTCGGTCTCATTTTAAGTTCTTATATTAAGTCTACGATTGATATTAAGCTGTGCCGATGATAAAATTAATTTAACTCCTCGATAATTCTTAAATCATTATTGAAGCTAATGTTAAAATTGCAAAAACAGTATATATTTGGATATGATAAAAATGACAAATTAAAATTAGTTATGTTGATTATGAGCAGTTTGATAACACTGAATCAACTCATTTTGCTAAATTTATTAAATTTTGACTCAAATAGTTGAATTCCCTGATTCTGCTAAATTATGGGAAAAAATTAAATATACTCCGTATTTGTTAATAAAATAAGGAAAAAAATATATGAGAAAGAGATAAAATTACTCTTTATACTAACATCGATCGATTAAACTAGAAAAGTAATTTCAATTTCCTTATTTTGATTATTACGCAACTCAATCGAATTGAATTTTTGAGTAAACGCGCATTTTTTAATGGGACCTAATAAATGTACAATTTTGTTTTTGAAGGTAACCTAAATGTACAATTGATCATTACACATATTAATATTTAATTTATCATTATCTAAACGATTTTTCTAAAAGGTCTATTATAATGGAAAAGTCAAAGTTGAATAAGAGGTATGTTAAATTTAAAAAATAAAACAAAATTAGATTGGCCACATATATATTCTACGTAGACACGTATAATAGAATAAGGTCGGTGAATTACCCAAAATGGTTTCCCACATTGTTTTCTTCACAGCTCCTATAAATATATTAAAATCAGAATTGCCTTACAACGATGTGGAAGGTACTTACCTGACAAAAGATTTAGTTTTGCAGCAAAGCTTCAATTCCTTATAGATAAAAAAGCATGACATTTACCAGTAATTTCCGACAAGAAAGAGAGCCAGAAATGGAGCGCGAAGCCGAAAGGCGGCGGCGGGATTTGGTGGTTCTGGTGCCTAGCCCCTTCCAAGGGCACGTCACCCCTATGCTCCAGCTGGGACACGTCCTTCACTCGAAGGGCTTCTCCATCACAGTAGCCCACGCCAGATGCAACGCCCCTGACCCATCAAACCACCCTGAATTCTCCTTCCTAGGTCTGGGAGAAAACATAAGCATAAACTTAGATGGGATCATAAAAGCAAGTGATATAGGCCTGAAAGGGAGGCTAGAAACCATCTATGATATGAATGAGAATTGTAGGGTACCCCTCCAGGAGTACCTGGAAGAGAAGGGAGATGTGGTTTCTTGTATCATCTATGACAACCTCATGTTCTTCGTCGATCAAGTTGCCGCCCTTCTCGATCTGCCTTCTATCGTTTTACGCCCTTCCAGCGCTGCTTACTTCCCAGTTTTACTCCATGTCCTTGAACATGAAGACACCCTTTCTTCCCTTCCAGGTTTATGCCCTGTTCCTATGCTCTGTTTTTATGCTCTGTTTTTTCTCCCCTTTACTCTCCTATTCCATCAAAATTGACAGTCTTTTTCCACTATAAATTTCAAAGTAATACAATACTAACAAAGTAGCAAATCCACTCATGTTGCAGATGATCCAATTCCAGAGTTTCATCCCTTACGATACCAAGATATGCCGATAGTCTTTCGACAATCCGAAGAAGTAAGGCGTTTCATGTTGACTTCAAACGATATAAGGTCTTCAGTGGCCATAATATGGAACACAATGGAGGATCTTGAACACACATGGTTGTCAAGGCTTCAACAACGTTACAAAGTGCCCATCTTCCCAATAGGTCCATTGCATAAGATAGCCCCGACTAGCCGAACAACTAGCTTGATCGAAGAAGACGATAGCTGCCTCGCATGGTTGGATGATCAAGCTCCTCAATCTGTCATCTTTTTAAGCGTATGTGGGAGCTTGGCTGCCATTGATGAAACGGACTTTGAAGAGATCGCCTCGGGACTGGCTGATAGCAACCAGCCTTTCCTTTGGGCAATCCAGCCCAGTTCAATTGAGGGTGAGTTTGTAATTTTATATTTGATGCATAATCATACATTGTTTAGTTTTTATATTTTTCGATGCGTGACAAATACTTCAACATCATGTGTTTAGTTTTTATATTTTTCGATGTGCGACAAATACTTCAACATCATGGGTGGATAAATGAGGCAAGCAACCTCAAAGAGACTACTAAATCATTTGTCAAATCACAAATGGGGTTGTATACGATACAAGAGGTTACAGTGTTACACATTTACACCACATATATTTAGAATGAGTGCACCAAAATCTTATACAAGAGGTTGTATTTTACTCTTGTACGGACAAATATTTTTGCAAGATTCAATACTAAAATATCTAATATGAGTAGTGTAAGAACTTGTATGTAAATTTCATTTCTATACTTCATGAGTGTGGTGGGATGATTCAACTCTTTATAGGTTTGGAAGAGAAAGAACGGCTCATAGAAGACTTCGAGAAAAGAAATAGAAACAGAGGACGAGTAGTGAAATGGGCTCCACAAAAGAAAGTATTGGCTCATGGCTCGGTGGGTGGATTCTGGAGCCATTGCGGTTGGAACTCGACGCTAGAGAGTCTCGGTGAAGGCGTTCCGATGATTTGTAGACCGCACTTTGCTGATCAATTGGTGAACGCTAGGCTCTTAATCCAAGAGTGGAAGGTCGGGTTGGAGTTGGAGAAGGTGGAGAGAGGTGTTATTGCAGAGACTATTAGAAGACTTATGGTGGGAGATGAGAGAAAAGAGCTGAAGAAGAATGTCATGGATATGAAACAGAAACTTGATGACAGCTTCCAGAAAGATGAAGGCACTTCAAACAAAGCAGTGAATGAATTAACAAACTTCATATCTTCACTCAGTTTAAAATTCCCTTTGTGAGGTGAGGGCGGGACAGTCCTAGAAATTTTGAGTAACAATATCTACCAAGTGCTCCTGGTTTTCAAGGATCCCATTTTCCTAACTAGTAAACTCACCCGTGCGATGCACGGTTTGAGAATTTTTCTTTCGAATTTATGTGTGCTTAGTAATTCAAATCACACTATCAATTGATGACATCATCTATCTTCATGTAATACAGATTAACAACAAAACACTAAACGAAACACACTTATAATATTATGGTCAAAATGAGATTACTAAACATTACTTAAAAGATAAAAACATCTAACAAATACGTTGAAACCATAACATTGTAAATATGCATTGAAATCGATGTGCTCACAATACTAAAGCATTACTTCCGGGTACTTCTTATTGGCCTCCATCGATGCTGTGAACATACTGTCCTTAACTGAACATGCCTGAACCATTGAATCCAAAGGCCGATCATCACGAAAGACAACACTTTGTTCTGCCGGCAAATGGAAGCTCAAAGGCTCAACTGTCGGGATCTTATATTAAATTTCAAATCCAAATATGCGTTAAGCAGCCTCACACACAGAAATGTATCTACAGTCATAGTACATTTGTATCTCATCGACTGTTTGTGCATCGCACGGTTAACATTTGAAGTTGTTAATAGGAATGCTTAGGAATCAAAACATTTTAGCTCGCACTAAATTGTGTCAAAACCATTTCTTTTAGTAAAATGTTTGCTAGTATTTCACCTTGCGATGTGAAAATGATGTTGTCATTTTTATTCATTTTCAAAGGTTTATATAAATTAATTGAAGGTAAATTGTTTATAATGACTAAGTAATAAGATGAGTATAAATTTACACGAATTGCATTTTTTTCAAACGAATTGTCTCTCTAAATAGGTCAAATAAAGGAGTAAATTATGTGAAATTAAAGTGTGTTATGTAATTCTCGAATTATACTTGAATCTAATTTTGTGGGAAAATGTTCAAATAGGGGCTTCTACTGTTTCTAATATCCAAGTATAATCTGGTTTGGTTTGTTTAAGTTTGGTTTGGTTTGAGACTGAAATAAATGTAAGTATAAACATCTCAAGTAATATGGTGACAATGCATTTATACGAATTACATTTTTTACACACATTGCCAGGGTAAATTGGCAAATCAGGGGGTGTGCAAATATGTGACAGTGTGTTATGACACTATTAAACAATACTCAAATATGAATTTATGAGAAAATGTTTGTTGAGTCTGTATATGAAAAGTAATACTCAATATATATTAATTGAAGGTAAAGTATTGATGATGAGTGAGTAATGGGACGACTTTACATTTGTACGAATTGCGTGGTTAGACGAATTGCCTTTGTAAATAGGCAAATCAAGGGGTGCAATCATGTGAAAGTGTGTTATGTCATTCTTAAATTATACTTAAATATATTTTGTAGTGAAAATGTTCTGCTTTGGTTTGTTTAAGTTTGGTTTGGTCTGAGATTGAAATAAATGTACGTATAAACATCTCAAGTAATATGGTGACAATGCATTTATACGAATTGCATTTTTTACATGAATTGCCCGGATAAATTGGCAAATCAGGGGGTGTGCAAATATGTGAAAGTGTGTTATGACATTATTAAACAACATTGAAATATGAATTTATTAGGGGTGGGCAAAAATACCGATCCGGCATGATACCGAACCGGACCGGTATGGTACCGGACCGATAAACGGGGTTTGAAACGGATCTCAAAATTTTTTGTCCCGAACCGGACCGAACCGGTTCGAAACAATGCCATGACCGGTTCTCATAAAATGAGAACCGGTACCGGACTGAACCGGACCGAAGTATGGTTTATTAAATTTGTACTACTATCGTTTATCTAAAATATATTAATTACCTCATCCGTCCCAAATTGATTTGCAAAGCCAACATTTTTTTTGTCAAAGTTAATGTTAAGTTCTTGATAATTAATACAATTTTTAATAATTAAAATTTACATATTTAGAAACCACATTAAAATCTCTCTAAAGTTGCAAAATCCAAATTAAAATATACGAAGTACAGAGTAGTTTTTTTGAAAGGCCAAATTAGAATATAATTAAAAAGTGAAATTCTAATTAAGTGAATAAAAAGAAATTGTTTGACCAAAAAAAGATTGACTTTGCAAATCAATTTGGAACGAAGGTAGTATGATATATGAAAATTGATAAATTGTGTGGATTTTTAGAGGATGGCTAAACTTTAATTTTTTCTTAAACAGCTGGAAAAAGTGGCATTGTTTGGTATTGGTATGGCATGGTACCGTCCCGTTTGAAAATGGACCGTACCGAACGGGTTTGGGTCTAAGACCGAACCGTACCGAACCGTTTCAATAGTAACGGTACGGGTACGGGTTCGGCCAAATATTGGACCGGACCGGACCGTGCCCACCCCTAGAATTTATGAGAAAATGTTCTTTGAGTCTGTATATGAAAAGTAATACTCAATATATATTAATTGAAGGTAAGGTATTGATAATGATTGAGTAATAGGACAACTTTACATTTATACGAATTGCGTGGTTAGACGAATTGCCTTTGTAGACAGGCAAATCAGGGGGTGCAATTATGTGAAAGTGTGTTATGTCATTCTTAAATTATACTGAAATATATTTTTTAGTGAGAATGTTCTGGTTTGTTTAAGTTTGGTTTGGTCTGAGACTGAAATAAATGTAAGTATAAACATCTCAAGTAATATGGTGACAAAGCATTTATACGAATTGCATTTTTTACACGAATTGCTCGGGTAAATTGGCAAATCAGGGGGGTGTGCAAATATGTGAAAGTGTGTTATGACATTATTAAACAATACTCAAATATGAATTTATGAGAAAATGTTAGTTGAGTTTGTATATGAAAAGTAATACTCAATATATATTACTTGAAGGTAAAGTATTGATAATGACTGAGTAATAGGACGACTTTGAATGGTTAGACGAATTGCCTTTGTAAACAGGCAAATCAGGGGGTGCAATTATGTGAAAGTGTGTTATGTCATTCTTAAATTATACTTAAATATTTTTTTAGTGAAAATGTTCAAATAGGTCGTTCTACTATTGTAGAGGACAAACTTAGGTCTTTTTGAAATAATTACATAATTATGACCAAAATAAAATTTATTTATGAAATTGTGGTCTCTTAAATCTGGTTACTATAATAGTTACTTTAGTCACATAACTTATGTTCAACTTTCACATTATGTGAGAATAACATTCTATTTATAGTAATTTAAGTCTTTTTCTGTAAATTACTTTTAAATTTTCAATGAACGTTTCGGTGGCCGAAGGTTTCCGATATTGGCTGGCCGGTGGCAGGTGCTATTGGGCGAGGTCGTGGGGTAGGGGGGAAGGTAATGTACAGGCAGGGGTGTGTACATAGTTGGGTACATTTTTTAAAAAATGATAGTAGTCATATTTTTATCTTTTAAATCGTAGATATAATATTTTGTCATTTTCTATTTTTTTTCTCTAACTTATTACGCAGTAGTAAAATACCATATATATTCCAAATATGATTTTCCCATATTTCAACAAATTCAGTCAATTCAATGGTTTGAACCAATTTTTCGTCAATTTAAAGACATTCAACCAATTTAAATCAATTTTTCATGATATCCTTCAATGAAATATTTATTTTTTATTTATATTGACAAATAACCAATGAGTCATTGATGTTTTTGGGAAGGAACAATATTCATTAAAAATCTTTTGCTTTATATTATAATAGATTATAACATATTTCAACACGCGAAATCAAAAATCATTTGTGCCGTAAAAAAATTGATTGATAAGATTGATATGTCGAAAAAAGAATGATCAAATAGGCTCTTAATGCTATTTAAAATACTTATGTATAGAAAACTTTTTTATTTAAAAATATTATCATACACCCCAATTACTTTTTTGTTACTCCGTAGAAAGGTTTTGTTTTGAAAAAGTTATGTCCCCGTTCAATACTGATTCGGTCAGTGTTTCGTGAAGTATCCTGCTATTTTCAATTGGGCTTTGAGTCTAACCTTTGGATCAAGGCCTGCTCACTCCAAAATCCCATATCCCACAATTTAACCTAGCCCGTAATCATCCCAAAAAATATCCACCGTACAGGCTCACCATCCCCGTCACAATTGTCTCAAGAGAATACACCAGACAAATCCCTTCCATGTCCCTTCTTACCGCACAGACCAGTACACCGCACCGCACTCCCTCCAACAATATTTGATTACTTCAAAACGCAAGATGTTGTCTGAAATGATCTTCCTCCCTTCACCGGTCACTGGATTTCCGCTCTAGTACACACGTCTACGTATATATCAGTCTTGAAGAAAATTATACACTTCTAGGAATTCGATCTTCACGCGGTGTTTCAAAATCGATGGGTTAATGTTGATTCAAATTAAATTTAGCCAACGGATCTTGGAGAGGTTAGTTGGTATAAAATTTACAATTAATAAATAAGTTTGTGTTATTTTCCATTATTTTTATTTACAATTCACATCAAATATTTGGGTTGTCATTCTTTATTAATGCCGGTAGACTATGAAATAAACTCTAATTTTTTCATAAACAAATTTCATATGCAGGTCTGGCTGTCTGGGGGTGTCTTTTCTTTGGTTGACAGTTGTTTATTTATCTTGCATCTCTTTGAAATGTCAATTTTATTTAGTCTGATGTATCTCGATTTGTAAGTTGGAAATGTAATAATTTAACAGTTAGGGTTAGATTAAGATAGCATTAGGACTCCAGGCTCGTTTAGGAATTTTTGTTTAGGTTGGCGTTCTAAGTAGTTCAGTTATACCGTAGATATATTTATTCCGTAGAGTAGGTTCAGCTCTAAACCTTTTTTGGCACTAAATTTAGACTTAAACTTAGATGTTTGATACTCCAGGAACCTTTAGAAGTATTTGTTTAGGCGTTCAGCCTTGAGCCTTTTTTGGAATGAATTTAGAATAAGAGTCAACTCTTTGAAACTCCAAGACCCTTTAGGAATATTTGTATAGCCTGGTATTTTTAAAACAGATTTGATAAGGAAATCACACATAGTTAGACTTGTAAATATAAGTGTTGCCAAATATTCAAGTATTTGGAAGTTGGAAATTACAAACTGTGGTTTTTAGTCTATAACGTAAATAAGCACACGACCTTTATAGAAATAGGCTCACTCAAACATTATTTATAAAATCTGCCGGCTAAACAGCAATGTGGTTGACTTT